ACTTTTATCTCTAATGTTACTTTGCAGAGTTCTCTGGATGCACACTCAGTACAAGTGGTGGTCATTTCGTTTGGCTGTCAGGAGGGAGCATCACACTGGGTAGAGCAAACAGGCTGTCAGTACGACATGCTGCTGGATCCCAGTAGAAAGGTCAGGGGTCAACATCAGACAATACACATTTCAGTCTTTGATAAATAAATAAATTAACTCATTGTTTGGTATTGCAGATGTATAGTGCATTTGGTCTGGGAGCATCTCTGAAGAAAGTGTTAAACTTCGGTAACATGCTGATCTACTCTGAATATGTAGCGAACGATATGGAGTTTCCACGAGAGCTTCCGTGGATTCAAGACGACATGTTTCAGGTCATCAGAATTCAATATGACCATTTTGTGCAACACATCTATCTATGTATTAATGAATTCTAAGAGGTGATAGAGAAATTCACTAAATTTTCACCACAAAGAAAGACTTTTAAGATTTATGAATAATTTCTCGTTCCTGTCATTTGTTCCAGCTGGGAGGCAACTTTGTTTTGGACGAACATGGAAGGGAGCTGTTCTCTCACCGCTGCCAGAGTCCAATAGACCGACCCTCAGTGGAGGACATTTTATCTGCACAGTGAATATTAAAATCCTTCATGCACGGCATGACTTAATTAAAGGAAAAAAGAAACAGATGATGTCAGCTGATTAATTCTTTGTATCAAGTTAAGATAAATGTGATTAATAAGCCATCTTTGAAACGATAATTTTGTGAGAACTGCTTTAAAGGTATTACTTTTTTTTATACAGTGCTGTGAAAAAGTATTTTCCACCTTTTAGATTTCTTGATTTTTTCCTTATTTGTCATATGTATATCTTTCAGATCATGAAAAAAATGTCAGTACTGGACAAAGATAACCCCAAATAAAATTCTTTTATTTATTAAGGGGAAAAAGTTGTCCAAATCTACCTGTGTCTCTGTGAAAAAGTAATTGCTCTTAAACCTAATAACTGATTGTGCCACCCTTGGCAGCAATCAAGCGTTAGCAAGAACTGGCAATGAGTATCTCACATCGCTGTGGAAGAATCTTGGCTGCTGCTCTTTGAAGAATTGTTTTAATTCAGCCACATTGTAGGATTTTCAAGCATGTACGGCCTCTTTGAGGTTATGCCACAGCATCTTAATCCGATTTAAGTTTGGATTTTGACAAGGTCACTCCAAGCCTTTATTTTAGTTTTGGTATTTTTTAGCCATTCAGATATCCTGCTGTATTAGGTGAATCAAGTGAGCTTGAACTTCAGTGTATAAAGTGATGACTGGACATTCAGGACCTTCTGGTAGAGAGCAGAATTTACAATCAATTACAGAACGCACAAGCAGCAAACCAGCCAAAGAGCCCCAGACTTTACACAAGATGAAACAGGACTCCAATTCCAAAAAGTTTAGTTTTGTGTATTCAGAATATTTTTCCTAAAATCTTGGGGATCATCAAGATTTTTTTTGGCAAAGATGAGACAAGCTTTTTAGTCAGCAGTCATGTTTTTCGTCTTTGAATTCTCCCGTGGATGCCATTTTTGCCCAGTTGCTTCCTTATTGTTGAATCACGAACTCTGACCATAACTGAGGCAAGTGAAGCCTGCGCTTCTTTACATTATTGTTGTTTCGGGTTCTTTTGTGACCTCCTGGATGAGTCGTTGATGCACTCTTCGTAAGGTGACCGCTCCTTGAAAGCGTCACCACTGTTCCGAGTATTTCAGGATTAAAAATGGACCAGATTCAGTTTAAAGGTTTAAAGATAAGATGATGAAATAGGAAGTACATTAAATATAAAAACGTATGACAGACACAATGTCACTGCACAGTCCCAGTTTTCCACTTGGAACTCTTGGATTCCATTAGCACTATGGGTAACTTGCACATATGTCAAGGCATCTAAGTGTTTAACGACACACAGCCCTTTTAAATTACAGCTCCACAGTAAGAGTATGCATCCTAGACATGTCCGAAGTGCACATCTGTCACCCACTGACTGCATGTAATGCATTGTCACATGAAACAAAAAGGGCAAACTGCTGAGTGGTTGAAGTCCAACATCAGGTAATAATAACAAACTACAACTTATGGTTGGGTTTCCACAGTTTGCAATTGCTTACACAGCATTGCTAAAATGAGGTGATGCAGCACAGCCTCTATACCAGTGGTTCTTAACCTTGTTGGAGGTACCGAACCCCACCAGTTTCATATTTCATTCACTGAACCCCTCTTTAGTGAAAAATAAAATATGATTTTTTTTTTCAAATTCAAGACATACATATGTTTTTTACTGGTGCACAAAATGAGCCGTGCGTGTCATGGCGGAGGCTCTGTCGAACCCCTGAGACCGACTCACCGAACCCCTAGGGTTCGATCGAACCCAGGTTAAGAACCACTGCTCTATACTAAGGTCTGAAGCCTCTTTTGTCCTATGATAAGTGCTCTGAGTGTGTTAAAAAGTGATAAAACCTGGTGTATAAATGAAGTCCATTTAAACATGGCATTTTACCTTAAAAAGCATACATTTTGCAGAAACAATAACTGTTTTCAACTTTAAAATCTGATGTTAAAACTGCTACTTCTCATATCTGAGTTTCAATCAATGATTAGAAAATGATGCAAGAAAAGTTCTCGCCAAATTTGCAATAGCAGAAGAAGAGCAGTTCAAAAATATATCGTAACGATAAAAATCAAGATGAAGGCTGAAGGCAGAAAATGCACCTCTGCAGACATAAATCACAGGATCAAGCTTCATAATGCTGCATGTTTAATGACATAAGCCTGCGCAAAACCCTTGAAATGATGAGCAGTAAACTCAAGAGTTATAAAAAAAAGCAGGCCTTTGATCAAGACTTCTTAGACATCTTCAGACTAGAACTGCTTAAGAGACCCATCATTTTAAGACAGTCCTTAATCACCAGAGATGGCAAACGTGGACAAACTCATCATGCAGATATGAGACTTTGGGCCATTCCAGAGGAAGATTGCCACACTTGGTTCATTTTCATTGATAGTTTTTGCTTTTGTACTTGTTGGAGTTGTTTTCTTAGGCCACACTCTGGATCACTGGTGCTGGAGTCATGGATCTGAGGGCCTCTGGGAGGAATGTGGATGGAGTGATGTCAAGGTGCGGGACGTGACCATTCCCCACTCAGAACAGTCTGGATCTTTCAGCCGTTGTGAGAGATTTGCAGTGGACTGGAGCGAAAGCCAAAAGAAATATGATGAACTTGACTGGCAGCGGATTTCTAATGCAACCCAGACGGTGGCGTGCGAAAGCAGATGGGTGTTTGATGATAACCGCAGTACTATTGTTTTAAAGGTGAATGGTCATTTTTTTCCTATTTCTCCAATGATGTTATAGTATGATGTAATATATCTTTAAATTGATTTTACAGCGGTTGTAATTGATCTCATGGGTTGCGTTTGCATTAGACTGATTCATGTTTTGACTACTTGAGAAGAAACTCATTGCATCACATGTAATATTCATGTGATGTTGTGTAACTCTGGAACGTGACCTAATCTGTCCTGCAGCTATAAATAAAACAAGTGAGCCATGTTACCATGAGAGTTTTAAAGAAATCCATTTTCAGCTTTTGTTATACATATATCAGAAAAGTTCTGTTGTAAAAAGAAGTCTTTTCCTGGATCTAAACTTTCCAATATTGCCCCCCTTGCTATTCTCGTCACACACATTCATTTGTGTTCTTTGGTTTTTAATAGGTTTATTTTACTGTTATAGTCATGAAATCACAAAGAAAAACAGTGTTAATCTTTGTGTTTCTTGGAATTCCTTCCCACCTAGTTTTTAGATCCTGGCTCAAGTTTCCCTGGCATGTGGATTTTTCATTGGAACTCTTGTGACAGGTTACCCAGCTGTCAGGTTTATTATGCACCAATGACAACACATTTTTCTTTTCACCAACAAATCAATTAAGGCATACCCCTCTAACTCATTGACCCTAGATGACATCACCGACTGATTTATGGGCCTTTTTGATTGCTCGTTTAGCATTTTAGTCATTTCATTACTCTTTTAAAACAAGATATTACATCACTGAGGATATAAAGTAGCAACTTACAGGGTAGCAATGCCTAAATCTTTTCTTGGATTGTCATCTGATTTACTTTAAATTGGAAAATAATTTATAAAATGATCATCATTTTGTACTAAGTAAGGCTTAAAACTAGCGATTCCAACTATAATCT